AGCGGCACCGTGTGCCTCTCCAGCTGCCCTTCCCATGGGGATCCACCCGGATCCAGCGGGATCTGCTGCTTTCATAATTCCCCGTGCTCAATAAAGGCTTTTTTTGGATACAATTCCAGGCTCTTTGTGTCCTGAATTCCCCAATGTTCCCATTCCCACATCCCTCAGTGTCCCCAATCCCATCCCAGTTCCCACATTCCCAAGGATCCCAATCCCAATCCCATCCCCACATTCCCTACATGTAGGGATCCACCAGAATCAGAATTCCCAGGGCCAGTGGAAGGATTTTTTGGGATGCAATTCCAGGCTCTTTGTGTCCTGAATTCCCCAATATTCCCATTCCCACATCCCCTGGGTGTCCCCAGTCCCATCCCCACATTCCCCACACCACGGAAATCCACTGGGATCCACCTGGATCTACCAGGATCAGAATTCCCACTGCTCTGTAAAGGATTTTTTGGGATACAGTTCCTGGATCTTCATGCCCTGAATTCCCAATATTCCCATTCCCACCTTCCCCACACCTGACATTCCCAACAAGATCCACTGGGATCCGCCACCATTGGAATTCCCATTCCCAAGGCTCATGAAAGGCTTTTTTGGGATACAATTCCAGGATCTTCATGCCCTGAATTCCCCAATGTTCCCATTCCCACATCCCCTGGGTGTCCCCAGTCCCATCCCCACATTCCCCACACCACGGAATTCCAATGGGATCCACTGGGATCCACCTGGATCTGCCACAATTGGAATTCTCAGGGCTTAGTAAAGGACTTTTTGGGATACAATTCCAGGCTCTTTGTGCCCTGAATTCCCATTATTCCCATCCCCACATTCCCCACACCTGACATTCCCAACAGGATCCACTGGGACCTGCCACCATTGGAATTCCCATTCCCGGTACTGAATAAAGGTTTTTTTGGGATGCAATTCCAGGATCTTCATGCCCTGAATTCCCCAATATTCCCATTCCCACATCCCTCAGTGTCCCCAATCCCATCCCAATTCCCACATTCCTGAGGATCCCAATCCCATCCCCACATTCCCTACACGTAGGGATCCACCAGGATCAGAATTCCCAGGGCTAGTGGAAGGATTTTTTGGATACAATTCCAGGCTCTTCATGCCCTGAATTCCCCAATATTCCCATTCCCACATCCCTCAATGTCCCCAGTCCCATCCCCACATTCCCCACACCACGGAATTCCAATGGGATCCACTGGGATCCACCTGGATCTACCAGGATCAGAATTCCCACTGCTCTGTAAAGGATTTTTTGGGATACTGTTCCAGGATCTTCATGCCCTGAATTCCCAATATTCCCATTCCCACCTTCCCTACACCTGACATTCCCAACAGGATCCACTGGGACCTGCCACCATTGGAATTCCCATTCCCAAGGCTCATGAAAGGCTTGTTTGGGATGCAATTCCAGGCTCTTCATGCCCTGATTTCCCCAATGTTCCCATTCCCACATCCCTCAATGTCCCCACTCCCATCCCAATTCCCACATTCCCGAGGATCCCAATCCCACCCCCACATTCCCTACACGTAGGGATCCCCCTGGGATCCACCAGGATCAGAATTCCCAGGGCTAGTGGAAGGATTTTTTGGGATACAATTCCAGGCTCTTTGTGTCCTGAATTCCCCAATATTCCCATTCCCACATCCCCCCTGGGTGTCCCCAGTCCCATCCCCACATTCCCCACACCACGGAATTCCAATGGGATCCAATGGGATCCACCTGGATCTACCACAATTGGAATTCCCAGGGCTTAGTAAAGGATTTTTTGGGATACAGTTCCAGGATCTTTGTGCCCTGAATTCCCAATGTTCCCATTCCCACATTCCCTACACCTGACATTCCCAACAAGATCCACTGGGACCTGCCACCATTGGAATTCCCATTCCCAGTACTGAATAAAGGTTTTTTTGGGATGCAATTCCAGGCTCTTCATGCCCTGAATTTCCCAATGTTCCCATTCCCACATCCCTCAATGCCCCCAATCCCATCCCAATTCCCACATTCCCAAGGATCCCAATCCCAATCCCATCCCCACATTTCCTACACGTAGGGGTCCCCCTGGGATCCACCAGAATCAGAATTCCCAGGGCTCATGGGAGGATTTTTTGGGATGCAATTCCAGGATCTTTGTGCCCTGAGTTCCCCAATGTCCCCATTCCCACATCCCCCCTGGGTGTCCCCAGTCCCATCCCCACATTCCCAAATATCCCCATCCCAATCCCACCCCCACATTCCCAACACGCAAAATTCCCAGGATCCACTGGAATCATGAAAGGCTTTTTTTGCATGGAATGGGATCTGGGATAGGATCTGGGAT